CCTGAAGTCGGATGGCTCGACGGTGTCCTCGTCTTTGCGTGCCCTTGAGGATTGGAATCTTTCCACGTTTCGGAGGACAGGGACACTGGAACAGGGTTTTTGAAGGTTGGAACGGCCGCGTTAGGTGACGACCGTTTGGCATTGGCCCAAGGTATGGAGTCGTGGCAGAGGGAGTCGCTGACTACCAATATCGCTCGATCGCTCGGCATTTATCGCGGCGTCGATCCGGAAAAACTCAAAGACTGGATTGATATAGTTCGCAAGCATATAGGACTTAACAAGCCGCTTGACTATGAAACGGCATACCGGGTGTTCAAGGGCAACCGTTCTCTAGACAGGGTATTCAAGCGACTTGAGGCGCTCCGCCGCGTCATAAAGGATGAGGAAGAAGTTCAGAAGATGGTCGCGTATATGTACAACAAACTAGCTAAAGGACTTTAGTCAAGCTTGGCAAAAAAGCTTTCGGGTGGACGGCCAAGAGATGGAAGAAGTTCAGGTTGCTTCCCGAAGAAGTCTCCACACCGCTTGGCCTTGACGACGAAAACCTCGCTTCGACGGTGCCTCATTTTGCAGTCCAATGGAAGAACTATGGCGAAATCTTTGAAACGGTAGCGTTAAAAAATTCCGACGCACTTCCATGGGCGAAACGTAATTGACCGGTCATTTGCGCCAGGACAAGCAGATTCCTTTTCTTCGCACTGTCTGGCCTGACCATCCGGATCCCATCAAAAGCCAAGAGAAGACGGAGCATGGGCTGAAGTCCGTCGTGGCGGGATGATTGATGCAAGTTGGGGCAGATCGCTGGACGTCGGTCAACGCTGAGTAGGTCATCTTTGGACATCGGTCTGGTTGTCGTGTCTGCTCGTGCAAGTCCGCGAAAGTTTGGAGCGAGGAGACGCGTAGACGGTGAAATGGGAGCCACGTTGAGTCAGTCGCTCTGATGAAGGGGCGTGTATGGTAGATAACTAGGCCATTCACCTGATCAATAGACACACTTTCTAGCCACAACTCGTCTTCGCCTCGTCTCAATGATTTGCAGTTGTCGTGAGTGAGCGCAGTTGAAGCTCCAGTATATGTCACTACTCATCTAAGCTGTCATATGAGCGTACACGAAGCTTGACCAAAGCAGTGTTTTTGGCAGGTGAAAAGCAAGAAGCGAGCACCTCCGAGGCGAATGGGATCGAACACTCACCTTTGAAGATCCCACTGCCAAATTTATCAATGACGTGCCGAGTCCAGTAAGGAGGAAAACGCACGAAGAGGACCGGATTGCTACTCCCGCGCTTGGACCCATGTACGCATCGGTCGCAATTTGGGCAGACTGATTGGTGCCGTTCTCAACATCAAGTTACAACAATGTAAGGCTGTGCTCCGAGCAGTCCGCTATTTTGATTCGGTCGGTGGTCTAACTGAACACAGGTGTCCACGCTCATGCATGGCGCTCGTCAGGACAGACAGCAACGAAAGCGCACAGCAAGCGTCGCGAGTAACACACGAAGCCCTAACCGAGATGAAGTTATCAAACATCCCACTCACTTGAGAAACTATCGACATGTGATGGCACGCGTCGAGGCCATTTACTGCCCGTTTGGTACGAAAGATACGTTTGTCTTTCCACAGTAACGTGAGACGTGGGTGTCTAAGATTATATGTTGTCCTTCTGACCTTTCTCCTGGCCAGAGATCATTGCGACTCATGCATTTGAAATCTAGTCGGTACGACAGAGCAGGTCACTTACTTGGGTGCGATGCTCGGTCGAGGAGTTGTATAAGGTTTGCCGACAAACAGTTGTGGTAAGCTGGATTCGAAACTGAGTCGATCTAGCTTATCGATTGCTGATGTGTCCTATTTTCCTAAGAATGCCCGGGTGTGCGCGTCCTAGGCAGTGGTTGGCCGCAACGTGCCAAAGTGACAGTTTGCGCATTCATTGTGATAATGCGGTCAGCAGGTCATGCTTTCTGTGCACGGACTCGACTGACGATGACGTCTAGCTCTGTTTTTGTGCGCACAGATCCTTACAGATCGTCGATCGACGTGTTGAGAGTTCGTTCAGTCCTCATCGACTGACTCGTTCTACCCGATCGCTGATCGCACAAAACTTCTCCTACTATATGAGTTGATGCAACTGCTGCCATGTTATTCTGCTTCCGAATCACTTAACCGCTGACTGCCGTTATGCTCCTAACACTTTTGCAAATTTACTGGGGGTTCACGAATGAAACGCGCGCTCTGATCACTGCTCCTGTCCGAAGGGCAAAGCTTTGGTAAAATATGTGCATGGTGGGGCCGAACTTATCGGTAGCCACCCGCTTGCATTTGCACAGTCATAAAGCTCCGCGTGTGTGGCCGTTGTTTACAACGCAGTGTGCTTGCACGTGGAAGCGAGCACTAGACTTGACAAGTCGAGTAGCCGAACAGTCGGACGTCGGTTGTGGGCGACACATCAACGGGGCCGCCGTTGCAATGTGCGGTGGCACGACTGTCTTTTCCGATAGCGGCTAGTACTTTGGCACTTCGATGGCGACGAACGATGTATGGGAGCCTGGCATGATGAAGTCTGTGGTTTTTTTTGGTTGCCATGGAGTTGCGGTATATGAAGGATGTAGAAAACGCAGAGCGGGTACAAGCACCTGGTTGTATCGTAGTGGCTTTGCGTACAAAGGATTCTATAATCGCTGGCAACGACGACGTCTCAAGAGAAGAGCCCGTAGAGCTTTTCAATGATTGTAAAATAGAGCCTGAGTCCAGTTGCAATGATTGAAGTGCTCTACGGCTCTGTCGAAGAATAATCAAAGAAACAATGGTACAAACGTACATAGCGATAGATCGAAGGAACGGATCTCGAGAGGACGACGCAGAGTGCGACGTTACAGGGTGGTGTGCTTGGGTGACAGATGACGGGAAGTGACAGCAACAGGCATGTGCCTGCGTAGAGGATGACGGGTTGTTCTTCCAGTAAGTTGCATGTTTACTTTGTTTCACTAGATAGCAGCAAAACACACGGCATGTGATTGCTCGATCACCTCTGTACTTCAGGCGCCTGGCCGCACGTTCCAACAAGGATACTCGGGTCCTGTTTGATATTTTCACTTAAGTACCGCAATGTGGCTCATTCGCGGCAAAGACGCAGCTGCTGTGGTCTCTGGCGCGGATACTTATCCAGCAACTATCTGTGAAATATAAATTGTTTAAAAAATGTAGGCCGTGACTGACACCGAGTGCAGTCGGGTATACGCTTTTAGTCACATTCGTTACTTAGACGAGGAAGCCACCCACCCGCACTTGGTGCAGCAGCGAACTTGCTGCAGTGGCACTCGAAGCATAACGGACGAACTACCGTGCGGTTTTTGTCCCACTTGAATTTGAGAACACGTTTGATTTTGCCACGGTTTCACTAAGGTCTCGGAAAGTATCGTGTTCTCGCAAAGTGGGTACGTACGCATCTGCTCACCGGCTGCACAGGACTTCAGCGCGCACATTAAGAAAAACGCTCTGCCAACGACACAGACCAAACACAGACCAAACACACGCACTCGGACTGCACGGCCGCCACTCAGAGAAAGCACCACTACCCATGCTGGACTCCCTTTTGCAGCGCTTCTTTGCCCACGCCAGCACTGCCGGAAAGGAAGACGACAGCCCGAACCAATCGGCGCACCAGGCGTCTCAAGAGACAGCGTTCACCCGCGAAGCCGAAGTGGAAGGCTGGGTCTTTCTGGCGGAGGAGAGACACTCGGAACCAGGCATCAAGACGCGCAGCTATGCTGATGTGGTAGCTGGAAGAACATGACGGACGATAACGTCCGAGCTTCTGCGGCGCGGAGCACTGCCGAGCAGTCCATGTTCGTTCTCGTTGTGATACGTACGTGCGGAAGCCAATGCGTTGGAGAGCGTTCGACGTGGAGTACGAGCTTATTGAAGCGTCGGTTTTGATTTTCTTCGTTTGCTAGACAGTGTGTGCAACAAGCAAACTTGCATTGCATCGTTCATCCGCACAGAGGTACTACTACGTAGTTGTTGCTCCAGTAGTCAATGCATTCCAAGTCGTGTTGATGGCGAGTTCACCACGGACACGAACGCCCTAGTCGCACGCGGTTATTAAACTACTGTGCTATATTTTACTCTTCTTCGCTCTTCATTTCACATTCGGCTGGGAGGTAAGATAGCAACTTGTCCGGCACGATCTGCCTCAATTCGGCATAAGGAGCTTTGTGTAAGTTGAGCTTCTGCAAGATATCTGCATCGTCGTGAATTTCGAACGGTGCGCTGAAGTTGAAAAATATGTCGTGACGGTCTTCCGACATCTCACACTGGATCACCGTGTCTTTGCTGGTATTCACGGCGATAAATGGCAGGAATATTCGCCCTTCGTCGCGTACGATGTTGGCGGATGCCGGATTCTCACTATCTGCTCGTTTACGCTCTGCGTTTCGCTTTAGCAAATTCTTCATCGCAACTTGTTGCACCAAAAGGTCTTGTAAGTGCTGCTTCTTTTGCTCCACGCTCTTCATGCGTTCATTTCGTTCAGCCTGCCATGATAAGTAGCATCAAATCAGTACGTCGCTGTCGAACACACATGGTAGCATCACTACGACGAAGCAACGCACCAATAGCATTTCCGTATCATGTTGCAAATTCGACGGCAGCCCTTTCCATCGGATTTCCTTGCGCTCTTTCGATATTATATCCATCGCCATCAGAACGTTCAATGCATCATAGACGCGTCGGCGGATGTTCTTTTCATCGTAAACCTGATAGCCACCAAAACAGAAAGTGAGCGAACTCACTCGACCCTTCTTCCCGCTTCCGCCGTGTTCTTGTCCCACCACTTACCGAATCGTTTGATCGCATCGTCACGAACTCGCGCACGAGCTCGTCAGCAACTTCATTGTAGGATGTCACATGCTTTTCTTCTACCTTTTGGCACACCTTCATGCTAAAATGGCGTAGACCCTTGTTAATCTTCAAATATCGTCGATTCTTCCCCGGTGACCTACAACGACACCAGCACCAGGTAAAAACAGCACCTGTGCTCTCAAAACGAAGTATGTAGACACGCACGGGCTGGTGAAAGACGGACTTGCGAACGTTGGCGTTTCAGACGCTTGTTTCTGTTCGCTTCTTGCTTTACGAGGCGTTGACGTTGCCGCATGCGGCGTGTCGACAAGAGCACCATTCCTCAAGATTCCGATTTCGGTCGCCATTTTCTCAAGTCCCTGCGCCTTCATCATGTTCACAAAGTCGTCGTGAAGACTCGTGGGCGTGATGGACACACTCGCTGCATCCAGTCCAAACGGCGTGCTCTCTGCTTTGATCCCTACTGCTGCACATTGTGCTCCTACATAGCAAGCAGAAAGTAGTCAAAACAACACCATACAAGCACTCACTTAGTGCTCGACACGTATGGTAAAACATCAGTAGCTAGTTTGCTATCCACCAACCTAAACAGCCATCGTCCTTCTCTTCCAGAGCAATCTCCGTCAACTTCTTGAGCTCTCGACGAGTCGTTCGTTTCGTAGTACCGCTATTCACTGCTCCCATTCTCTTCTTCCCTGTGACTTGGGCTGGAGCCATGGAATTCGTTCGTTTCCTCACTGAAGACTGCAACTCAGAAGGCACAGACGTTTCGTGTGCAGACATGAGCTCTGCTGGCAGAGCGTCTCTTGCCGGCGTGCGCGCGCCGATCAATTGACTCGTTGCCGCCTGTGATTGCACTGTGTAGAGGAAACGATTGCGAATCAGTAGAGTATGCGTGCACGTCCTCACTCGGGACAGCAGTTGAACGAACAGGACGTAGAGCGCTCGGGGAGATGCACTTCTAAGGTGGAACTTTGTTATTGCCCGTTGCTATCGAACCGACGACGATGATCGCTGATGATTCGTTGAAAACAGTCGTCAATTTCAAACGTTATTGGCCAATCGTTGCGCCGAACACTCTCGACGGAAGCTATCGCGAGGCAGGACGTCGTCTGGATCATGCCCCGCGACGACGACTTTTACGTGCGCTATTAGTACGTACCGCGACTCACTTGGAGGTCGAACGAGCAGTGTGTTGATCGAAGCTTACAACTGCCGCTCCGGTCTATGTATCTGTCGACGTGTCCGTCCTATGGCGTTGTTTTCTTGCCGTTTTTCGCTCCTCGTGCAGTGTCGGACATCGGGGCAAGTTTGGCCACGAGTTTATGGAGTTTGAGTTTCGTGGCGACGGGAAGCTTCGATACGCCAATAACTCCAACTACAAGAAGGACTCGATGATCCGCAAAGAAGGTGAGGGACTGCTTGACTGCAGAACAGGACCTGTGAACAGTTCTACTGCAGTTCAGGCACGGGAAAATGCCCCTGGCTTGACAAAAGAGCCGATCAGCTCTGCTTCTAACGTCTCTCTTCCTCTCTCTCTCTCTCTATCTCTCCCTCTCTCTTTCTCGTTTTGTCCTGATAGTGATAGTGTCCAAGTCGGTGATCGAAGAAGTGAAGCGGATCATCAGCGACAGTGAAATCACAAAGTACATGCTGAAGATGCATACGCCGTGTATGCGGTGGCGCACGATCGAATAGGAAAGCTAACGTGTAATGTATCAACAGGGAAGACGACAAGGAATGGCCAGAGCCCGACCGAGTCGGTCGACAGGAACTCGAGGTGGTGCTGGGCAACGACCACATTTCGTTCACGGTGCGCGATGATCTATTCTCCGTGCATGTTGAGGGGGGGCTGGCGCCACGTGCACTGACGGTTACGTTGTGTGTGTAGTGCGCGAAGATCGGCTCGTTACTGGACGTGCAGGACAGCAAAGACCCCGAAGGTCTGTGTGTGCTGTACTACCTGGTCCAAGACCTCAAGTGCCTCGTATTCTCGCTGATCACCTTGCACTTCAAGGTGCGTTGTTGTCGTTGGCAGCTGAGCCTCGAGATGGGCTTGCAGCTGTTGTCTCATGTCGTGGTGATTACCAGATCAAGCCCATTCCGTAGCGCGAGACGTAATGGGCTCAAGTCTGCCGGCAATGCGAAGATAAAAGCGATCGACCGAGAGCGAGGCCGTACTCACGTACTTTCGTAGCCACTTTGGTGCTCATAATGCTCGCCGAAAAAAAGTACCCATTTCTGTGCTCACCTCCGTCGTGCGGCAGCCACCCTGTTGAATCTAGTGTGCATAATGTTTCAGAGGTCATGTGTTTTCTTCCATCGCTGCCAGCTGGGGGGAAGCATACCAAAACCGCGTCACTCTCCCGCCCGCGTGCCTCGAGAAGGAGGAAGAACCGAGCGAGTAAGTGAAGAAGAAGACGAAGCAGCAGCAGCGGCAGCAGTAGCAGCAGGAGCCAAAAGTCTCGTGGTATCCCTTCACGGCGCGATCGTTGCCATTCTGTTCGTCCGAGTGGCATCTTGAGGCCGTGGGCGATCAAGTTTCACGGGTATCGGGACCCGAAGCCGCGTATAGAGTTCGAGGATCTCTCGCACGCTCGTCTCGGACCAGACGCTGGGCAACAAACGCGCAGTTTGGAATCCCGACGAGGAAGGCCGCAACATGTCGCAGGGAAAGACGTGTCACTTTAAGCTCGTGCTTCTGGGCGACACGGCCGTGGGCAAGTCGTGTCTCGTCGTGCGGTTCGTTCGCGACGAGTTCTTTGAGTTCCAAGAGCCCACGATCGGAGGTACGCGACCGGACGGCCTTTTGCCCATCCACTATGCAGTGGTTTCGTTCGGAGATGCTGCAGGGCGGGCGGCACGTGTAGGCTGAGTGGATAAGGACCAGGAACATGTGTAGCGGCTCTTGTGTGTGGATGTGGGTGTGGGAAGGACTAGTGGGGCGATACTGACGCTGCACGGAGCTCTGTTGGCGCTGCTGTGGTTGCGGCGCTGCGACTGCTGCTCTGTTCTTCTCTTTCTTTCTTCTCTTTTTTTGTCAAGCTGCTTTTCTTACACAGACAGTTGGGCTGGAGGACGGCTTGACTGTCAAGTTTGAGATCTGGGATACGGCAGGACAAGGCACGGACTGAGCTGCTATTGAGTGGCGCCTGCTGATGTAACGCTGCATGATGAGCTCACGGTTGTTGTATCCATGTGTGTATGGCATGTCTCCGACTGGGGTGTAGAGCGGTACCGCAGCCTTGCGCCCATGTATTACCGGGGTGCTGCCGCTGCGATCGTCGTATATGATGTGACAAACAAGGTACGGATCGAGTTGTGACCTCGCGACTGAGCACTTGTAGCAGGAGATCAGACCAGACAGAGATCAGACCAGACAGAGATCAGGACAAACGCTCATGCTGCTATTGCTTTGCTTGGCTGCGTGTTTATGCTCAGGACTCGTTTACTGGTGCCAAGTCTTGGGTCAAGGAGCTCCAGCGCCGCGGTGACCCTAATGTGGTGATTGCACTCGCTGGCAACAAGTCTGACCTCGAAGCTCGTCGTAAAGTGGAGTATGAGGAAGCTCACCAGTACGCTGAGGACAATGATATTCTCCACATGGAGACGTCAGCGAAGACGGCCGTGAACGTGAAGGATCTATTTGTTGCAATTGCAAAGAGGCTGCCAAAGAATCCGATTCAGCCTGAACGCGAGGCGTTTCCCATTACTCCGCCTCAGGCGTCCAAGTCCAAGAGCGGATGCTGCTAGTGCTGCTAGCACAGCTAGTATGACTGACTAATGGACCTGCATCTTCAACATGAGTGCGTTCTGTATTTGCCATGACCTGAACGACAATTGAAGAATGTGTATGTGCTGTTCACGGTCCCTGCCTAATGAACGAGGCGACCAAAACGTAGCATAGAGAAGGCGAGAGTGAGAGAAGAGGGCAAGTGGCAGGAGAACGGAGCTGGAAGACACACGAGCTACCACTCTGGGGACTGGTGGTTGCACCATGCCGTAGTGGACGGATACGGCGATGGCAAATGTTGTGTAAGCATTGCGGTGTCGAACATGTACACAGCCCGTCGCACTGAAGACTTCCGTCCAGTGCTTGATCAGTGTCTGCGTTGTCTTTCGTATGCTGCACATCCAGCACATCCAGGCACTAGCTGTTGCACGCCAAGCGCATGCCACTCGTAAATAGCAACGCCGTCGGACGTGACAACGAACGCGTATCAAATCAGACTTCATTGCAACGGCAAAACAGACGTCATACCTCCGTGCGCGCTCTTCAGCTAATCAAGTGCCCGCGCTTTGATGTTTGCCGGTTTGTTTACTACTCACCCAGAAGAAGAAGGAGGAGCACCTCGCCTCTGCTCTCACCACCGCTTGGACGCATACACTTGTTGCTTCTGCCACCTTGACTTCACTTCCTCCCCCCATCCTTTTTGTTTGCCGGCAGCCAATTCCAAACGCTCTTTGCTTTCGCTCAGTTCTTCTTGTGGTCGTCAATACCAACCGTCGAGTTGATGCCAAAGATTCGCACACGGTCAAGCTCTGGCAGCTTGGCCAGGATGAGTGTCGCCCAGATGGGAAAATTGATGAGCAAGTGACGCACGTCATAGTCCGTCGCCACGGAGGCGGCCAGGAACAAGAAGGTGGGAATCATCATGAGGAACTTCTTGGTGTTCGTCCAGGGGTGGCCCTGGTCGATCTGTTCGTAGAACGTCAGTTCACGGTAGTCACCCATTGAGTTGTCGTCGGGTGAGCCTTTGATCCAGTGCATGATGCCAAACGAGACCTGCAGCAGCGCGGAGACACAGACCCTCGTGTCAGTCACAGAACCCCTCACGCAAGCAGCATAAACACCCCGGCGTGGAAGTCCAGCAGCCGGTTTCGGCCTCCCAACCGTCGGAATCCCTCCCACGTACCGCGCCGTGAATCGCGTTCATCGCCGTGAGGGCGTCGCCGTGGGAAGGAAAAACAATCGGCATCGCCATGTACAGCGACGCCAGGAGCAAAATGTAAAACGTCCAGAAGCCCCGCGAGTCCATCCAGTTGACGTTCTTGTTCGTGTCCACGTGAGCGCTCATTGGGCACGTCTGCGATGGCCGAGAAGTGGAAGCGTCTCGATCGAGTGGCGCGTGTGGCGGCGGCACGTTTTAGACTTGTGCGCGTCGGTCGGTCGGTCGGTATGTCGGTCTGTCTGTCTGTCGGTCTGCTGGTCTGTTTGTTGGTCTGTCTGGATGGGTGAGTGTTCGTTCGAGAGTCGGGCGAGCCAATTGGCGCCGACAGTTTTCGCTTTCGAGCGCGCTGACAGGACAAAAAGGGACGGTTCTAGTCAATCGACGACGACGGCGGCGGCGGCACAAAAAGAAGAGGCAAGTCGCTGTTTGGCCCACCAATGAATGATCAGTGAGCATTTATTTGCGTGAGTGGGCGAGCACTAACTCCACTCTCTCATTGTGTGGTCTCTCTCGCTGACGCGCCACTCGAGATGTTCGATCGTCTATGAGCCAGCCATTGGTAGTCATTGCAGCTCTTCGATTGCAAAGTCTCAGCTAACGTTGTTGCAACCAAACTACTCGTCTTTTTGCGCTGTTTACTGTGAAGAGGAATCTTACTGTTGCTCAAAGCGGTGTGCATCTTGGACAAAGACGTGAAGAATGTTTCCACGTCGTGGCTTGCGCTCGTCGCGTGTCTCGACATTGTTGGCAGACGTCATTTACAAGTGCGACTCGATCGAGTCGTGGACCTGACTTCGGGCTGATACTGCATGTCTAGTCAGAGACTACGACTTGGCTCTGCAACGATACCGCTTGGTGGGTTGAGGCTTCGACAGGGCAAGTCCATGTCTCATTGCGCTGATGTTAATGAGATGCTGGCACCCCTCTTTCTCCTTGACGCGGAGGTCGCCGATGCACATGACAAATGCTCATGAGTCGGCCGTGTCATTTTGCGCCAAAGCACCACTCTCCCCATTGTCCCAGCGTCCATCCGTTCGTGCGGCGGTCATTGCTGGTGAGGTTTACCACAGGTTGAGCAAGTCGGGTCGATTTACGGACCCCGTGAAAAATACGTCGGCTGTCTGGTCCGTCGTTGAACCACGGAGCGTGGCGTTTGCGTGGATATGTCATGAATCTTGCAGCGCTGTCTGATCCTCGCTCGCGACAGCCCAAGGTTTTGCGAGTACGGTTCAAAATGGTTATGCTCGGATCCTTGTCACGTGATGTTGCGCGCGGCCACTAATCTTAGACAATAGCCCAGTTCAGACAGACAAAGTCATACGGCCATTTTGACATCTTCTTCATGAACGTCTTGGAGCAACACCACCATCACCATCACCACCACCACCACCTTCATTCCTTGTACTTCCATACCTACCACACCAGGCTCCTTCTGCTTTAGCTATCTTCACACGCGAGGTTCATGGCGATACGGCAATGTGTGATCGCGAACTGGAGCCCGACATTGCTGCTGCATACACAACGCATTTCGTCGTAATGGGACAGCTGGGCACTTGCACACACACGTATCATGTCTTCTGGTCACAGCGCTGACCTTGCGATCGGGCAAGTCCAAAGATGTTCCTTGGCCTCATCATTGTGGAAGGCACACGTCGGGCTTACTTGGATAAACCTCATAGTCATAGCCCACTGCACTACACGGCATCACCGTCATTCGCGCTGAGTGTCCCTCGCTCACATCTGTTGAAGCAACGCGACGTAAGTGTCGTGCAGAACCTGCTCTAGCACTTGACGTTGCTCTTGAGGTCTCTGTGCAGCTACCGCAAGTGTTCCCTGAACACTGTCTCTTCCCTTGACATCGCTCGATGCATTTTGTTGCTGTCTCTGCAGTTTGAGCAGGAAATGTACAAGCTCAGCACTAAGGTCGGCGTTCTGCGCACATGCGTCGACGATCCAAAGTAGCACTTCAGACAAGAGGCTAATGTAGATAGCACAGCTCTCGCCTGAGTTCCCGACACCATTGCGCAGCTTATTCCATATTACACGAAGCGCTTGTTGCATCGCAGCACTCTGACGACTACCGGAAAGATATGCAGCGCACAATGAGAGCACGACACGCAACCGGAAACGCCATTTAGTCATGTCCTGGTCAGCTCCTTCTGCAACAAACTCCATCAGCGGCTTCATTGCTTGAGTAGCTGGGCACGACGACGAGCCCGGAGATGCCATGTTTGATGACATCCAGTAGTCCCACAACAGCTTCATCGCTGGCGCGGTGGCAACCAACGTCGGCACCAGTGTTGCGTCATATCCCTGCATATGAAGTGCTAATAGCAGTTGTGGAGGAGACGGAAATGACGACTTGCCATCAGCAAGCAGTAATTCGTTCACCATTGAGAATAGTAGCGCACAAGCCTCTTCGACGACTTCATCGTCGCCCGGCTCTGACCTCAGCGTAGAAAGTCGCTTTAAAAGACTGTGAACCAACAAGCAGTCCTGGAGGAGCTGATGCTGCTGCACAGTGGCTGTGATTGCGGTGTTGCCGGTCATACCGTCCGTTGGCATCAAACTGGGGTCGCACTTAATCACATGGACATTGGCTGCGGCTCGTATGTCGCGAACGAGACCAAGAAGCATTCGCAACAACGCTGGTTGACAAAACACACCGTTGTGGGCGTCTTCAACAAGTCGAAATGGTTCCTGTAGTACCTGCGTGTATGTCAACAATTGCAATGGTTCTCCCCGATGCGTCTGCGCTTGTTGCTGATGCCAAATCACGTCTGGAAAACACAGCGAATGCACCAACCGCATCATTGTCAACACACTTGCTCCTTCTTCCCGACGAACACGTGTTTCGTACAGTGCGACAAGTTGTGAGCAGAATGCTGCGAGATGGCCACGCAACGACACCGAGATTTGCGATGACACGATTGCGTACGGCAAGAAAGCGTCAGCTAGCGCGAGCAACTGATGCACCACCACGTCAATAGGCGCCGACTGTAACCCAGCCAAGAGCATATAGACTGCTGTCAACGACACTGGCGACTGCTCTACGCGAATATCCAGCGTGTCACCACATTTACGATGACAACGAAACCAGCTATTGATCAGGTCACACTCTGCTTGATCGCTGGGACTAGAAGCGAGAGGTAACAACTGTAACGTCGAACCTGATGGTGCCAAAGCTGTGACAGCATCGAAAAGGTGGGGGTGTTCTTCCATCATGAGTCGCAACAACGTAGGAGCAACGAACTCGAAAACACCACCCTGGTCTCCGTGTGCAAGGGCTTGAGTCGCAATGTTGCGCAACGGGAATGCACTCAGGTCATATTGCAAGCAAATGTCAGCTCCCGGGCCCATTCCAGCTGAGGCCGACGCATTAGTGGATACCGATGAAGTGGAAGCCAGACTGCTCAGCTTGCTGCCAGCAACCAGCGTAGCACGACGTACGCGCTGATTAAACTGCAATGCGTACGCAAGCCCCAATACACCACGTGCCCAAATCAATTCAGCTTCTCGTCCACTCTTGCACTTGTAGGATTGACCCAAAAGCGGAGACGCCAGCCACTTTGTCAAGGTCGAGCTTCGCAACGGAACAATCGAAAGTTGATACCGGTTAGGGGATTGAGCGATAGGGTACTCAAACGCCATCACATAGTTCTCAACCCACTCAAGCAGCAAGCTGACAAGAAGAGGGTGAACAGGCAATGCTGCATGTTCGCCGATCTGAGTAGCCATCCAGCTTTCAAGCCGATGAGCATGATGATGCCGCAAGAAAGACTTCTCGCACAGCAACCCGTGCAATCCACGCAAGGTTAAATCATGCTGGGAGCCTACTGACGCTGCATCTGATGCCGAGATACGGGCTACTGGCGGAAATGTCAGCACCTCGCGAGCCAGCAGACTTTCCGTCAGGACAGGCTTGAGCACGACATCCCCAAACACATGGAGGTATTCCGCTCGCAACGCCAGCTGCACCTGAATGCCACACCCTGATGCGGAAGTCGAGAAAGAGTCACGTGTGTCTCCACCAAAACCAATCACCGACGCGAGGAAAGGTACAAGAGCAGGAGCTTTAGTGTAGAACAGCACCGCTGATACCACAAACAGCGGTCCAGCGCCAGCTTGTCGTGCATGGAACAGTGACACCAGCACCTGCTGAGATAGAGTCACAGCACTTTTAGTGTGCTCATCGCGCTGACCGGGCGCCTTACTCAACGATGGAGTAAACGGGTACCACAACAGCACCACAATAATGAATGCCAGGCTTATCGAGCGTGGCGACGAGGATGGCTCAAGTGCATCAAGGCCCTGCAGAATTCGGATACGATCTGATTCCAATACCGGGAAACTGCCAAGCACTTGCAGTCCAACACACACAGCCAAAGTCGTCGTCAATTCGTACGGCAGCACGCTCACGTTACGGCTATCAAGCGTGTCTAGCACCACATCCCAGATCTTTGCCAAGTTGGCGACCGCAAACTGCTGAAACTCGCTCGTTCCTGCTGTAGCTTCTCGACATGCAAGCTGCACATACGTCCACAGTGCTGATCCCGGCGCACCATCTCTTTTCAACCACTGATAAATGAACACACGCATATCCTCTCGACTCGGGAACGATGTCAGCAGCTCGAACGCCATGTCGACACAATGCAGCGACGTCGTTTGGCGACTCAGCTTCGCACACAGCTTCGCTGCATACAACGGCGTCAGCTTAGCTATCTCGATACAAGCACGTCGCGCACTTTTAAACACCAACGGCGTCGTGATCAGCGCGTCTTGCTCCTGTTGTGCAATGGTCTTGTTTCCCGTTGTCGTCTCCACCACGACCGCGATGACGGCATCCATGAGCGTCTCGACCTGAGAAGGGTCGTTGACAGCTAGTCTCGATAGCATCACGGGGCCTATCGGCACGGCCAGGGCCTTCCGAGCGACCGAAAGAGCACCCAATGGACCAGTTATAGACTGCTGTAGTGCTTGCAACGTGGGACTAGCTAGTGCCTGCACTACGATAGCCACCACCTCGTCCTGGTAAATCTCGTTCAAAAAGAGTTCGCTGGACTCCAAACTGCCAGGAGCTGCGAGCAGCCACTCACACAGCACAATCAGGACTCGATCGACTGCTGATCCACTCTCAAAGCGGCGAAACGCGGGCTGGGAGTCCGTATTCGTAGCTGACTGGAGCGTAGCAGGAGTCAGGTCGACAACCACTCGGGCATATTGACGCCATGCCGACGCATTTTCGACGTACAGCAGCGACGCATCCAGTGGTGTGGGCTTGGGAAGTGTTTGCGGCGTAGCGGCGGCGCGTCGGGAGCTCTGAAGACGGGTGAAAAGCGGTAGAACTGGAGTCAAGAGGGTCTTCCGAGCGTCATTTGAACCAGCCGTTGCGACGGCAGGAGAGAGCGATGCAAAGTTTCCAGTGGTCAAAATAGAGAGGAGATGCGGGTGAAGAGAGTGGGCGGAAGGGGGCGGCGTGGGCGCGGCCGTCACGACATCGTCGTCCAAGTCTTCGCTCATGGCTGTGGACGCGAAGAAAGACTCACTTGGCCTACTTGAGGACGTGTAAGGGGGGCGACCTCGGAATTGTGACGTGAATACCTCGTCAGTCTGCCATGTTTGACGTCGATCGAAACGCTTGCTCCTCCCGCACGAAAGCTTGCAACAAAAGCACTCAACTAGGACAAGAGTTTTGTTTAAAACACGCCACGCATGTGTCTATTGATCAGGTGAATGGCCTAGTTATCTACCATACACACCCCTTCATCAGAGCGACTGACTCAACGTGGCTCCAATCTCACCGTCTACGCTTCTCCTCGCTCCAAACTTTCGCGGACTTGCACAAGCAGACACGACAACCAGGCCGATGTTCAAAGATGCCTTAGTCAGCGTTGAACGACGTCCGACGATCTACCCCAACTTGCATCAATCATCCCGTCACAAAGAGCTCCAGCCAATCCTCCTTCTTCAATTGGTTTCTAATAACAATCGGATTGTCAGGCCAGACTTTGCGAAGAAGAGAAATCTGCTTGTCCGTTGGCAAATGACTGATTAAAAGAGACGTCGCCTTTTCAGTATCAATGGCAAGTTTCGAGTGTTTCTTTTGCAACATCTTGACGTAGTCGACCCATCGAGCTGCCGAACGTAGCACCGGAAAAGCGAGATTCTTGTTGCCAATGCCAAGCATTGTAGCAACTTCTGCGGGACCCAACCCCATCTTCATCCACCTCTCAGCCATCCACGTAGAAGCTTTGTCGCCAAACTTGGCTGAAACTTCTTGAGCAAGTTTGTTGTGCATTAACGCAACCATCCCCTGAAATTGATCATCATCGATGTTGCGGAGCGCTGCAAGTCGTTTAAATACCTTGTCTAGAGTAGTGTCGCCCTTGAACACCCGGTATAGCGCGTCGAGGTCAACCGGCTTACCATATGATCTAAACCAGACGTCATAATTTTTCCAAAGCGCAAGCTCCTCCTCACTCTTGGCGGCTTTTCGACCAGTGTCGATCAATCGACCTACTTCGTTGCGGTTTAACTCCTCTCTTGGCCCAGCGCGCACGTGTCCGAATAACTGCTGATCCTTCCATAGGTTCGTAGTGGCCCTCGAAACAAGCTGATTCATTTTCTCGAACAAAGCCGTGACCGCGTTCCGATCCTCAAGGTGAGATCGCAACAGTCCTAGCGAGTCGGACGAAGCGCCGCCAACGCGTAGCACAGTCCCCGCGTTGGGTGCGGCAACAACCGCTTGGTCGCCGCCGGTTGTCGATCCGACACTTTCACCGAAAAAAACGCCGGAGGCCACGAGTAGAAGGCAGAGCTTATGCATGTTCATGCACGGGTGGCCAGGATGTAACGGGGCACGCCTTGTGTCAATTCAACACAAGGTTGTGTGCACCCGACGTCACGTACACGTGGCGTGAGGAAATGCGAGGAAATAAACTGAACTAGAAAGCTCTGTCTAAGGGAAAAAGTAGAATTGTGTCTGATATAGTTATGTCTCTTTAATCATTCATCTTTGTCTTGATCTAATTATTGTAAACTTTAATCTCCTATGTGGGTTTCTTGATCACCACCCATCGCGCGTCCAACAGCGACTGGTGGTAAATCTGGTTGATGTATCGTGAACATCAACCATCAGGTGGAGCAACCCATCAAAGAAATATTACCCTCGGGGGTAATATTCCTTCAACCTTACTCCTTACGGGTAATGTCAATTGAATATTATCTAAATAGATACTACTCAAAAAAATCGATACCAGTCACTATTGTGAGTGATATAGTTGGTTGGTGACAGTGATTACCATTTGGTCGACCTGTGGGAAAAGGAGCACTTGTTGGTTTTGACCAAATCATTCCAGCTTTTTAGCGTATGACGAGTTCGTCCATGCGCTGCTCGAAGGAGACCGCCACTGAAGCAGCTGCACGCATCCGTGCAGCCGGAGAGCAGGCTACCCAAGACTCGGCAGCAGTCGTCTCATCGCCTGCTGCTGCTGATAAGCAGCCTGCAACACCCAATGTTGCAAGTGCACGTGGTCATCCACGTGAAGCTTTTTCATCCGCAGCTTCGGCTGCGGGCACGGCGACTGCTGTGCCTCGTGACAGTCTCGACAAGACTCTGCGCCATTAAATGTTCGGCTCATCCGACGATATTGAGTACTCGTCGCGGGGATTTAATCAATCTCAATCGCATTTGTATGATGCGAGTGCGCAACACGAGTACATTAGTCATCGTGATGATATCGATGACTCTTCACGGAGTCATCGTAGCGGTAGCAATCCCAGTGATTGCGGCGATCGTAGTGCCGTTTTCTATGTCGGCACTGCGCGAGAGGATCAGGATCGCAACGTGTTCAATCTGCTCCAACCCATGTATGCCTTCTCAACGCAATATGAAGCAGTGGTATGGTCATACCACTGGGAGTTATCGCTTCCCGCTCTTCGATTCGTCAAGACTTCATGGTCTTGATGCCAATGCGAGTGGTTATCGCAGTAAACATAAGTTTTACATCGATGTCTTTTTCAGACATCTACGGTACGACGGCAACCGCAACCGAGTCGAAGTTTCGTTGGTGCTGGCGTGGAACTCTTTTATCAGCAATATTAAAATGTTGCCTTTGTGGTAAAGCGAACTTTCTGGAAAGGGTAGACTCAAGGAGGGATGGACCGGAGGGACAGGGGCCTCGCGATCGGAAAGGGACTGGAGGCCAAGGAGCCACAGAGGAGAAGCGGCCGTTGGGTTCCAGCCGTTGAGAGCGACACCAATGCGGATTGTTCTCAACCACTCGTCGGTCGACCGGGCCACTCGTCGGTAGGTACGGCCGACCAAGGCGGCCTCGGTCACCCAAGGGCCGACCTGGTCACCCTTTGGTGGGTACGGCCGATCAAGGCGACCTCGGCTGCCCAAGGGCCGACCTGGTCACCCTTTGGTGGGTACGGCCGATCAAGGCGACCTCGGTCACCCAAGGGCCGACCTGGTCACCCTTTGGTGGGTACGGACGATCAAGGCGACCTCGGTCACCCAAGGGCCGACCTGGTCATCCATCGGCCGACCCGGACTATCAAGATCAAGCGTTCCTGACCACTCAGCATAGTGAGTCCAGGCGTAAGGCAAGTACAGAGTAAAGGAGTTTAAAGGATAGGACATTATTAAAGACTACTCAATTTGCGATCTAAGCCACACGTCTCGTGAGCCAAGAAGCTTGTAAGTCTACCAACCTGTTTCGGGCCAGGAATCTATTTGGCCCACCCGTTGAATAGACAGTGCTGGTAAGACTCAAGTGCAAATAGAACCCCAGGAAGTATATTGGCCTGTAGGTTCGTGGAGTAGCACCCCCCCAACTCAATCCCGCTATAGGAAGCGGTCTCCATACCCTAGTGGTAAGGGAGAGGATACATAAAGGCCAGGCGGTGGACACCCCTGAGACACATAAAGGCCAGGCGGTTAACACCCCTGAGACAAGCAAAGGCCAGGCGCTACTAGCCCTGAGAACTCTGGTTATAAGTCCACTCTCAACCAAGTTGACCAAGTGGCTGCCCTAACTGGACCCCGACTGAAGCATATCCGCTCGGGGCCCCCAAGGTCGACACACACCAAGACCGACATCTAACTCCATCGCCACGTCCTCCGAAGAGTGATACCCGCCAAGCCGACGGGTACACAAGGTGAGTTTAAGATCCAAGCGGAATAGGAGTACCCCCTCCTCAAGTCGGCAGTCCGGCACAGTGGGCGGTTCGGAGTCACGCCAATCGATTTTGGCGACCCACTCCACCACACCTGTGACGCTTGGTTGCAGATCTCTGTACGTTTGAACAGAAGTCCATAACCGGTGCTCGGTTCAAATTTCACCGATTGTCTCGAGAGGCAGATTTGCCTTGCCACTCGTGAGAAGAGAATTGTCAGAGTTGTGTTGACAAATCTGTTCGCTCTCCTAGGGATAACTTCCTCCCTAATCAACCCTGTTGTAGGGCGCGCATCTCGTCTGAGATGTACCAAGGTATTGTGACCTTACAATTATTTTACGAACAATCCGGGCGTTCGTTTGACGATGGCCCTCCATCTCCCAGTGTGCGTCTCGTCGTACTGCTCGACTACATCGGGGTCATTTTACCATCAGCTTAGGTCGAGGCTCCAAGCTGTTCCACGAGGGTGTACTCTTTCGCCACTTGACGAGGTAACTCGTCATTCATCCTGAATCGCCACGGTGGTTCAAGATACGCTCCATAAGGAAGCGTTGATCACCGTGTGAGTCCACCAGCGGATGTGAAGGAGGAGGGAAAACCTCCTCCAAGTCGTTCGACTCACCATCTCGACCATCACGAGATGGATCGTGACAATCTTTTAATTTGCGCGAGGATTTGTAGTACGAGAGGTACAGACTCTACGCTCTGACCGATCCTGTGCGAAAGCACCTCAAAGATCGTGAGACTGATCGTGCGGAGTATCGTGCGAAGGATCGTGGTAATTACGCCCTCGCACAGCTTCAGGTTGTGCAGGATGTCCGTTTCCTCGTTGAAGAGCTGGCGACAGATCGCAAGGAGATCTCTCAATTGAGTGGAGAGTTTTCTCCACTTCTCGTCCAGACTAATCGCCTGGAGCGCGAGCGCAAGAATCCGATGGATGTTCTTGAACGTGGAGATATCTTCATCGTGGGAAGAGGGATCGTACTGAAAGTACTGGCGAAGACGTCACACATAAAACGTAGGATGCGTACGCATTCTACGCGGCAGCTCAATTGTGTATGTGTTTTTTCGTCAGCGCAGCACACGAAAGGGGTCGATGTACTTGTATAGTAGTTTACTGCTGCCAACATTAGTCACTGCGTATCTACGTAGATTTACCGTATACAGTATGATTTAATCACCTTCAATTAATATAAGAACATCTGCTTTTCAATTCTTGTCAGCGTTTCGTTTCTGCCGGTCCGCCGCGTGCGCGATGGATTCCTGCACGATAAGGACCACTGCTTCTCGAGACAGCAGAAACCTTTCTGCTGACGAGACATTGTTTTGCTCAGTTCGCCTTGTGCGAACTGCAGAAAGACTCCTTTCATCTTTTTTTCATCATCAAGGGTGTCATCCTCCTTGCTGGAATCGTCTTTGGCGATGCTGTCAATACTATCATCGTCATCTCCATACGATTCAATAATAGCTTCATTGCTATTTTTGAGGCGATCTCCTTCATCGATGTCGACCCGATCGGCATTGACATCATATGCTACGACGTTCGCGTCGGTACGTGGTGATCAAGAGCCAGAACGGTTTTTGCTCGAGCAAGTGCCTCCCCCTTTATCCAAAAAATCACACTCTAAGAGGGTGGGGAGACGTGGGTGACGAAAGCCATTCACGGATAACGGTGTGTGCTGGGTTCGAGCATGCACCAAATTATTGATGGCGAATTCCACCATGAGGAGAAATTGGCTCCAGCTCGAGAACGAGTGAGCGTATACGCGAAGGATCTCTTCGAGGACGCGGTTAGCACGTGCCGTATGACCATCTGTTTCTGGATGGTCATATGTTGGCATCTTAAGCCGTGTTCCAAGTAAACGGAACACGGATTGCCAAAAGTCTGCCGTGAACCGAGGGTCACGGTCTGACACGAGTTCACGGGGTAACCCGTGAAGTCGAAATATCGTGTCGATAAAGACACGAGCACAGCCTTGTGCTGTGATCGACTTGAGGACAGCAGCAAGATGCACCATCTTGTTGAACCGGTCAACAAACACGAGAATACCATTATTCGTGTGAGAATCTCAGGGTAAACCGAAGACGAATTCCATCGAAACGGACTGCCAGAACTCTTCCGGGACAGGAAGAGGCGGTGATGGTGAACGGGAAGAAGGACTAGGCTTCACCCGTTGACAAACCTCGCAAATACGAATGTACTTGCGCACAAACTGATACTGGCGGGGCCAGAAAAAGTCATGACTTTAAGTAAGGTAAGTATTCTCTATACTACGATTTTCACCCGTTAATGCATCGTGACACTCATAAATGATGCGCAAGAGCAAGTTGTTATACGCGGGGTCGACGACACGAGGCGTGTCGCCGGCAACTGCTGTATAGTACAGCAACCCGTTGCGTGTTGTGCACCGATCCGAAGAGGATCGGTACAAAGCTGGTAAATCTATCAAGGATTTACGAGTTGGATTCACCAAATGATCCATCAAGAACAGAAGACCCTTATCGTCTGCGAAGGCCTTTCTCACGTCGTCAAGTGATGTTGACGACGGTACATTAACCGTAAGTGTCGAAACAGTGGGCTTATCCTCACTATTGGATTGCGCGTCTGACTCGAAATTGGGTCGGCACGATTGCGCATCAGCAACA